ACTATCGAGAACTCGACCCGACATCTCGACAAACTCGAGATACGAAAGATGAGTACCGTTATCTTTTGCGTTAACAACTACTTTGCGAGGCACGAAAAGAGAAGGAAAATTTGGTTGATTAAATTGAAATCATGATTTACCGTTTCTTCGCATTATGCTTCTCCGCACGTTCATGGAAACGGGATTCTGAGTGCACGCTGCGACATAATATCTTCTGGATTACAATTAAACCTGTCTACGCATGGATCAACTCGGGTCATTCTCGATTAACCTTTGATATTACATACGAACGAGACACCGTGTACTTTAATTACCATTCGCTCCATCACCGTTAATCATTATAAAGATGAGTACATGTCGATCTCGAATGAGTTTCTTTTCTAAACAAAATGTGTATAAAATTGATTCTACGGTACAAAGTAAAAATATGATTGATTTCAAGCTATCTCAGCTTTCACTTTCGATACGCTCGATTATTCGTAAAATGTAGAGATCAATTCTCAATGGTACAACGATGCTTTGAAAAAGTAACTGTAGAACTAAGTTCAATAGACTGCACTAGTGATTATTTTCTTTTTCTTTTCATGACGAATTTATACACTAGTTGAAACATTTGTTTAAAATGTTGAGAAAAATTAAAGAAATTTAAAGAAAGATACTTTCTTATAAAAATGTTCCGCTATCTTTTATGATAGTAACGATATACTAATCAAATCTAATATCTAAGATTGGTAACACGAGACGGTACAGGATTTCGTGAACGGGAAACGAATGTTTCGTGAATCGGTTCGCTTCGATAAAAGAGAAAGGCGATCGTCGTACAATTCACAAGCCGATTCGCGAGTCAATTCGCGCTAAAGGCGCTGACCTATCTCGTGAAACCGCACCTTTGCGGGTATATCAACGAGCATTCAATCGATCGTTTCTTTCGGTCCCGTGAACGTCTTCCTCCTCTTATGTCGGGAAAATCGAGACTTATATAGGAAAAAAAAAGTTGTTCACCTTTTCGCTATCCATCGTGAATAGAAACCTTTCAATCGAGTATTAGTGTGTGTGTGCGTGCACCAGCCAGTCACAACGAAAGAACAGCCGCACGCCACGATCGTAAATAACCTAAAGCTCCCCGAGGCGACGCGTCGAGAATAATAATAATAATAATAATATGCAACGATTATGCACGCGTAGATCAGGCCTATATTTACTCTACCGATAGGCTTTCGTCCAGAGGATTTATCGTCTCCGTGGAAGGGATCTGATCCTTATGTGTTAATTTAATTTATATATCTGTATATTAACCTAAATGATTAATTTATTGTATCCTCGGCTTGTCTATAAGCAATTTAATCGTTAATATCGGGAAATCCAAGCTTCGTATGCTCCGTTAAGGAGGACAAGGATATACTACATTTTTTTTTTGTAGCTATTCGACTGTAATGTCGAGATCCTCAATATCGTCGGAATATAAAAAGGATATCAAAATTGATTCAAAAACAAAAGATATAGAACAAATAGAATGCAAATACGAGTACTGTGTTTTTTGAGTTTTGAGACGGACTTTTGACAATGAGAAATTATTATCTTGATTATAAATTTCTCTTCGTACAATTTCAAGTAATATCTTTATATATGATAAAATAAATCTTCTATTCATCTTTCTGTTAACGCCGCTCGTTTAGATTTTTTATTTTGTTACTTTGAAAGACTTCATGCGCCAGCGATCCTGTGGATCGATAATCTTTTCTTGCGAGTCGGATCTAGTTTTTTCAGGATGAGCACAACAGGAATATAGCCACTTTGATGGTAGTTTTATGTTGGAAGATTGGATTCGATGAGAGAACGAAATATAGTTATCTATTGAGAATATCTTGATAAAATTAAATTATATAATAGTAAATGATCAATACGAATGTTTTGTTATTCTTTTGCTTGTTTTTAATTTATAGAATTTAATCAATAAATAAAAGAATATTTATTAAGAATTTTTATTATTCATTTATTTATTTATTTATTGACGTAAATATGTTCATTATAGAAGACAAAAGATAAACATATAATATACATTAAAATAATGCTAGAAGAAAAATAATACAATGTATAAATAAGTAATACGGAAAGCTAAGTACGTAATTGGCTAGAAAATTACTTAATTGAGATTGAAAAGAAAATACAAATCATTGCCTGCTAAGAGAGAAATCATAGGTCATGCACAGTTCTCTATATCGAATGGATAACGGAGTATTACATCTCACAATTTTAGAAAGGATAGAAAAGTTTGTCAGATTTGATGAATTTATTAAATCGTATAAAAAAATTTATTCATATTTAACATGTGCAATGAAATCATAATGTATCTGTAATTATGTTAGTAATGGGCCATCGGCAGATTTGTTTTGTTAACTACATATTTGAAAAACTTATAATACAAATAATTGATACAAAGATTTGTATGAGATTATCATACAATATGAATCGTTAAGATCGAAAATATGAGCATATTGTAAAGATATTTAATGATTCTAATAAATAATAAAAAAGACGAGGCATTTCTTTTTACCATGCTTATTATTAACACCATGTTATTAAACAGCGGAAGTGTCAAGTCAGTGTTATGTTACTAGTCACAGATGAGTAGAAGCAGACGGATAAAGCTTAAGGAAAAGTTGTTTCATCGTTGATGAAGTGAAGAAGAAGCCACGAGGAGGATGACGAAGAGGATGCGATCAGGCGTCGAAAAGCGCGTGAGTTTCGAGTAGTCGGCCCTAAAGGTATAACGCAGCCTCCGACACGTACGGCGGAAGCGACGATTTTAAGTGCGGGCTGAAAGACATATTTCTGGCCGCGGTCTATATTTATCCTATGGTGTGTGCACCTATGCGCAGGAAAGCGCTGAGCGATTTACGCGTCTGGAACTCCCGGCATTCCTCGCGACTTTCTTTGTGCTTCCCTCGGGAACACCACCGCTCTTCGTTCGTTCCTTCCATCGTTTATTCGTTTCTTCGTTTCTTCGTACGTTCGCTTACACCACCGAGCCCTATGTCTCTTCTACGGGTCTCCTTCTTTTTCTCGTTTTTCTCACAGTCTCGTCGCGCTTAGCGACTTTGGAATTTTGTTGAGAGTACCTACGGAGCAACCACCTACGGCATACAACTGACCAACTGACAATGACACTGCAAATTACATCTTCTTCGACACTTTTCCTCTCCTTTACTTTTTATTATCTCATTCATATATCATCGTTGAATAAGAAAGATAAAAGACATAAAACGATGAAATAAAAGCATTCAATTTCTTTTTTTTTTTTTTATTTTCTTTCGAATTATTCTACAAAATTAAAAGATTTATACTAAATTCATAGAGAATGATAAGTTTATAAATTTAAGTCAATGACGTTCTTTACGATAACGCGATTATCATTTCGTCCTAATTTTTTCTCTTCCGCGTACTTTGTTTTTTTTTTTTTTTTTTTTTTCTTATCGAAGGTGGAAAGACATGATTGACGATTTCTATTTTCCTTACCGAGGAAAATCTGCTACATGGCTCATCACTAAAGATTTCCTCCAGCTGAGAATTATAAACGCGGTATTCGCCTTGGTGTCGGCGTATCTCGTCAGCTAATAGCAATAAGCAAGCAGATCATAGGCGCCGCCAACCTTAATGTGGCACCCACCACTCAGTAAGCATTGCTCGTTACCATTTATATCGTCTCAACGGAAACGAGAGTGCGAGCACGGCGATCATTATCGTTGTCTGCTCATGGAACGTCCTCTTCGAGGGCTCGTCGCGTCGCTCTACGAATAATTAGCCTAAGACATTGAAACGGGGCCACGCGTCTCGTGTTTCTCTTTTGTATCTTTTTAACGACGACGACGAGTCTGTCTGTCTCGGCCTACAGGAATGTTTTCTACATGATATATGTACTTTTCATGATATATCGAATTTTTCTTTAGAGTTTTTTTTTCTTTTTTTAAGAGGGTGGGGGATGGTTGGGAGGAGCTCGTGATGTACGTAATGAAAGTTGATTTTTACAAAAGATTTTATGATAAAGATAAAGATAGAATACAAACGATGTCAAGTGGAAAGGATTTAGTAGATAATCAAAGAAATTAATGATTAGCTTTCTAACGAGATTTAGAAGGCATTGAAGTTTCGTTGTGAGAAATATGTAAAACATCGCATCTTTCAGATTGTATATTCATTAGAATTATCATTCGATACGCTTATATTAATTCTCTTCCTTTATTTCCAATTATATTCTTTTTTTTATTTTTTTTTTTATTTTTTTTTTTTTTTATTAACTAGGCTATGCCTTTCTTGTGTTAGTACAAATCTTTTATTCCTTTTTAACTCTTAGAATAAAAGAAAATCGCATGCGCATATATATCGAATGTATTGAAAATGTAGGTCATTACTTCAGGATTTGATTTGTGCATTGAATTCTGTATAAAAATAAGTTTATCAAGAAATCAATTCGATTTCGATTAATTCAATAATAATTCCATGTCACAGAGTAATGACTTAGGAACGATAACACTCATAGATGAATTTTATTTCATTTTTTATTTTTCATATTTTGTTAATATGATTTATAATGTATCTTTCTCTTAATTAATATCAAAAGAAATTGTAATTACTACATAGTTTCAATATAAATAAATGCAATTCAAAAACGTTTCACTTTGGTTATATATATATTCATATGATTTTTTTTTTTTCATTCGTTTCATTCGTTAGACAGAACATACCGGGTTTTTATAAAATAGTAGCCTAAATTTATAATAAATTTTATATATATCCACATATAAAAATTACAAAATAGGAGTAAGTGAGAAACAAAGATTAAACTTGGAGGGTGGAGAAGGATACGCACGTGGCGAATGAACGTCGATTGTACGTGCCCTTATTTTGGCGCCACCTGTGTACATTCAGGAATACGTTCGTGTGTAAGTATACAAGAGCGTGCGCGAGAGAGCGAGTCGCGCGCCACGAGGTCGTGTATGCCGTCAGTTCTATTCGTCGTCGCAGTGCGATACGGTCGATAGCGTAAACGGGAACGTTTGCCATAGTGGTTCCTTTCCTTCGAGAATACAACGCACCCTCCTCTTCCTCCTTTCCCTCCTCCTGTTCCTTTTCTTTATTCTCCTCTTTATTCCCCTCTCCTCATTCCACGTTGTAGTGTGGATAGAATATACCCAATACGTAATACCACCCCCTTATATACACTCACATACATATATATCCTTTCGGCGCCACCGAGAAAAGGGAACGGAGCCGTTCAGCGTCCATTTCCTAGCGGGATGTCGCCGACAAGAGACGTTCCTACGTTCAGAAAGCTCGTGATCAACAACGCAGAAATTATTGTGTCATTTTCTTCTGATCGTTCCAATTTCACCTTAAGATTCGATTTATGGGAATAGTGGACCTCAAATGCTTTCTCTCTTGTGATGTAACCAATATTTTCATCTTAAAAGAATGTACTATTTATCAATGTAACAAATCGAAAGATAAGGCTTAAACTATGCTACGACCTTGTGATGATCGAAGAATCTTGTATGACGAATATCAAGAACGAATATTGTCGTACGGAGACGAAATATCGCGCGAATAACACGTGTTACCTCTTCGTTTCTTCACACGATAAGCCACTGAAAAAGGTAGATATATGAACGTGGGATCACGCCCCTCCTCTTATGACTGGATAAACAGACAACGATTCGCTCATAATCATTCGCTTCGGCAAACGGAAACAGCAATTCTCGATTTGACTTATGACATTGATAAAACGTAACTATTTCCTTCTCTTTTCACTTGTGGAAATAGAAATCATTTTATCGAAGTCATTTAGATGATAAAAATGATCGAGATTCGAGATTGAAAATAGCAACAAGTAGGAAGAAAATCGAGGGTTTGTAAGCTAGGTATTTTGATAGTGGCGTTGGTGGTTACGAGTCAACGTGGAAGTTTGTGCAAGTCAGGCGGGAAAGCTTGAAAATCAAAGGACATCGTCGTCGTTGTCTTCGTCGTCGTCGTCGTCGTCGTCGTCGTCGTCGTCATCATCGTTATATTCATCGTTAATATCATTGTATGAAAAGAGAACTGGCTAGTGTTTATCGATTGGTCTGCGACTTGAAGAGGATGCTCCCTTCCGAGTTCTACGTCGCAGTCACGTGCCAAGAGGCGGTGCTGAGGTTCGGAACGAGCGCATAAGGGGTGGCAAGCGTTGGGAATAGAGAAACGAAGAGGGTGGAAACTGAAAGCCGGCTTTTCCCGGTATACCGTTGAACCGTTGACGTCGTCGCCGTTCTCGTCGTGGAAAATCGATTGGGTGCCGGCGTCATTGCTGCAACCATTCTCGACCAAGTACAATGACCTCCAAACCGGGAAGATCCTACAGCGTGAGGTAAGGACGACTAACCGATGATAAAGAGGACGCGACGATAAAGAGAGAAGCAAGCCGTCTCTCTTTTTTTATCCCACCTTTTACCCTCCGACAGAAAATAACCAACTCTTTTTATCTCCTTTCTTTACAACTCCACATTGAGTTTACAGGCAACTTTGTTTTCTTTCTCTCGTTTCCGTTCATTTCGAGCGCCGGCAACATGCTAAAGGATTTCAATGTCTCATTTTTAAATTAAAAGTTTCGGAAATTTTCCATTTTTTTTATTTTTTTATTTATGTATTAGGAATTTACATTCGTGAAATATTAGCGAAATAGCAACAAAAAGGATTTCACAATTAATCATTTTCATTGTTTAAGACGATTTAATTGAAGATCTAATAATTGGTTATATTTTATAATGTTGAGGTTGTTTCTTGAAATGAATTTTATTTGAATTTTATTTGTTTATTATACCGTTCATTGTGTCATTTCCTTTCAAATGATTCATCGAATTTATTATTCGTTATTCAAATGATCAACAAAATAAACTACTGCATTATCCTTTCAAAGAATAAGTATTCAGCTGTAAAAATAAAGGTTTTTGTCTTGATCGATAGCGCGTCATAATATTTTTTTCTTTGTTCTTTCAAAGCTGCATATACTATACATCAATACATTCACTAACACGAATAGCAAATTATCGCGAGTACGATAATATAAATGGTAGTGATATAAATAGTAATAAATATTCATAAAAAGAAATTGTAAAACATGAACGTTTTTCAAGAGCAACTATGGCTGCTAAATGAACGCCATTTCGAAGAAAACGTAGATTCTTATTTTATGTTCGACGAGAAACGAACTCGATCTTTCTACGCACTCCACCCACGTTGCTGAACTCTTGACCCCAGTCACAGCGATTTATTCTGAGAACGAAGCGTGTGCCGGTACCGATACGCGGAATCTTTTAAATCCGTTCGTTCTAAGAGAAAGAAAGAGAGAGGCAAGCAAAAGGGATCGAGTTTACGAAGGAGATATACAGAAGGAACACGACCGTGTAATTATTACTTTACTTTACTGAGTGAGTCCTTTGTTGTATCACAAGTTAATGTATCCCATAATTTCTCGAGATCGTTCTTTGCCCTCTCCGGCTATTTTCGTATATCTAAAGCTCCGTATGAAAATCCATTTGATCGATAATCGTTAATTAAAATCTCCCTCGTGGCGTCTAACTTGGGACAGAAATTTATCGAGAGATTGTTATAGGGTCAGGGAAAATAAGATATCGCGGTCGCCTTTCTTCGACTGAAAATATTCGATACACTCATTTCTTGAACTAAATCTGCTGACCTATTTTTTGAGAAAGTACAAAAACGTTCTGAGATTAATACGCCTCGAGTAAACTCGCTCGATAACTCGTTATCATTATTTTCTGATCGGGACAACATTGCCAACGTTTTTATCGATCTTAAAAAAATCCATAAATCATATGCTATTGACTATTAACTTAGAGTGTGCCAACATATTTGAAACGGACGTATGGAGGTACAGCAAAAGAATTTCTGACGAAAGTGTTACAAACAATTTTTACAAATGTTGAAATTTATTTCAAACTCGTTTTATTTAATTTCAATATTTTTATACGCTCTTTATATTTTTTATAAGAAATTTACACTATCGATATATATATATATATATATATATATATATATATAAATGAACGCGAGTATTATTTTCGAGCCGCGGGGCTTTGATCATTTGCGATCGCTTCGACGTTTGCTCCTTTTCTCACGATAAGCGAGAACGAGAGGTGAATTTTTAACGCTGCACCCACTCCTTGCGAAAGGCTGTTCTTTCAAAGAGAGCCGTATCAAGGTCCGAAGGGATCGTCTTGTAGGCTAGAAACGGCCGATGGCTAGACAACCATTCTATCGATCGGTGTTCCTTCGTTTCGTCATTATCGCTGCATCATGTTCCAATGGAGAGAGTTAAGAGTTAGTTGGCCGGTCCAGGGTGAAAGGCGACTCATAAGAATGATAACTCGTCTATTCTTCTTCATTTATAATATTTTTTCTATTCATTTTTTCATCTACTAATCTATATCTATATATATATATATATAATTGATGAAGCAGAACTTTTCCTTATCGATAAAATCGATTATCTATTGTTGATTGTTCGTCGAAGTCATCGCGGAAGTTTCGATTTACGCAACGACCATGACCTTGAACCTGCTGAAGGCCTTTCCAAGCGTGTACACCGGTACAAAAGTTTACGAGCACGCTCCACTCCTACCTACACTATATACACGTAGGATACGAGCAAGAACGCCTTTATCTACCACTACTCGTGTTATTTCCGCTCATAACAGTACAGCTTGCACGTGAAATGTTTTGCGGCAAGATCGATAGTCTAATTGATTTGACCTGCTGCATTAATTTATTCGTATGATAATGTTATAAAGAATTTTCAAGTCATGTAATTTAACGTCTCTGATTCGTTTAATTTCTACTTTTATTTTTCCACGAGAATCATTTTGAAAAGAGATTGTTTCATCGTCAAGAACCTTTTCTCTGGAGATCGCTTTGCTTTATATTATTATCATTATTATTATCTATATCAACTTGCCATAAATATTGTTCTCTTGTACGAGTAGTTCGCTCGTTAAAATAAACGATATATGTTATACACCACACCTTCACTGATACTCCCCAGCTTGTATCATCCCGCATCTCTTCAGATATTTATGACATAAAAGAAGCTATCTCATAAGCGACTTGGTGTGTTTCGATAAGCGGAGTAACGTTCACCGGTAGGACTTGAAAAGAGAGCTCGAGAAAGCTATTTATGAGACCGTAGCACGAAAAAAAAAGAAAAAGAAAAAAAAAGATAAGATACATTCCTATTTCTTTTTAAAGTCATCTCCGATCGATTTTCTTTAGAGACTTTACCGGTTAAAATTTATCTCGAAATTTACAACCAATGCACGTACTTGCTTACGTATGTTTTTTGAAGAATGAATTGTGCTTGTGTTTGTTGAAAATATCATTATATTAGAACGTGACAATACGATAAGAATCTGGAATGTGCGTTCACTAGTATTTAAAACTGCTCGGCTGTTTCGTTTGACCCTAAAACCGATATGCCTATCGTAAGACGACTCGATCACATTTTTATATTCTAACGTGTGAAACATGATAATGCATGATCATTGTCGAATACATTAGTTCATAGGAATTCGAGAATACTTATTCTACTATAGAATTTTTAATATATGAAATAATAAAGAGTTTTTGAATAAAAAAGTAACTATGAATAATATATTTTTGGTGAAAAGAAAAAAATTAAATAAATTATATGTATTTAAATTTACGAATTCTATTCTTCTTTGATGTCAAAAGAATTACTTGAATTACCTGAATACTTCGTTTTCTTTAACTTCGTGCTATTTGCGTTGAAATTTTGAAAATATTTGAAATATTATTTTTTTAGAGCCATGAATATTTCGAAATGAAGAGAGCGGTCGAACAATGAAAGTTTTGATGTATTGCCAATCAATTCTCTTTTCATCGAATGTATGTGTTTTAATAGCCGATCGATTCATTTTATCGTGACATAAATATGACGCTTATCTTTTGATGAGTCAACATAAATGATGAGCAATTAGAAAAGGCGCGATTTCTGGGTTAATAGTTTTCGAAGGTCCTTACGAAAATATGTACAATCATATTTTCGCGATAAGGTGCCACGCCTTTTCGGATAACGATGATTAAAGTTTGGGTGTGCCGTATGTGTTAGCACCGAATAACATCTCTTTTGGTTTTAAGAAAATCACTCATTAAATAAATCCGAGAAACAATTTTTAAAGTTTTAAACTGAAGAAATTGTCGTTAACGATGAATGAATTCATTCGTACCAATGTAAAAATAATTTATAAGTTTGTACAGCCGTTTATATGTAAATAAACTTTATCTTTCCTCGAATGAATTCGATATTCGATGTTGGCATGTATTAAATTCAAGCTAAAATATCAGAATATCGATAAAATAAGTATGACACGAATATACTGAATTTATGTATGTAGTTTATTTTCTGTTCGAATATCTTTGTGTTGGTGAGTATCGGATAGACAAGGTCACGAAAATTCTGGTCGGTTTAGAATCGACGCGTGCACGTATCATTATAGTTGCTAATATTGCGAGTGTTTACAAAATAGTTCGTAAGATACGAGATACTCTCGCTAAGACTTAAAACTTTTTATACATTTTTTTTTTCTTTTTTTTTTTTTGCATCTACGTTTCATTCTATATAAATGTCTATACTGTTTACACTGAATCGTAGAGAATCGTATTCATAGAGAAAAGGAAAACTCCTTGTAAAATGTTTCTTTTATTATAAACAGAATCGGCCTTATGATCTGAGAAAGTAACTACGAGTGTTCTAATTGTAAACACGAGTGAAACATTTAGGAAACATTACAGAATCTCTTTTATCTTGGTATAGTTAAATAAATCCTCGAACGACCGACGCCTTGTTAGAATAAATTACTCGACAATAGCATAGTTACGTAATAGCCTCTGACTAATTATCGGTCATTACGAGAAGCTATTGGCGCGTTCTTCGTTGCGTCAGTAGCCTATTTGCACGATCTCTCGCAGACTCGTATAGAAAAGAAATTTTAATGAACCACGAGTTAAACAGCAGGAGATGGAAAGAAAGATCATGAGGTTCGAGGACGATACAGAAGCAACACCTGTTCTTTTTCATAAAGATACATTGTTCCCTTTTATCGCGTATGACTCTTTAAATTAGATCTGGACAATGGCGATGAATTTTTTTTTTCAAAACAACTTCTATCCACAACGTCAAAAGTCAATTTTTTTTTATCGTATCGAAAAAAAAAAGATCGATAGATATGATGGAATAAATATTTCAACATTTGCTTTCATCGAGACATCGACTTTCGATTATTCGAATGTCCAATTATAGTTTGAAATCAGTCGAAATTTTGTTTCTTATCT